GCTCGCCTCAGGAAGGTTGAAGTGCACTCTTCAATCTTCTCTCTTGTCTCTGCTCCAAACCATCAGCTACTTTGCTAAGGTTCTGTCCTTTCAGCCTCCTTCTGGACGGGAGCTTCTGTAAAAAGCTGGCTGCAGTTCGCCATCTTGGCTCCGCCCCCCATTGACAGATTTTAATGGCAATTGTTACATTTATTCTACTTCTTTGTAACTGGGTATAAAAATAACATGGCAGAGGACATGTGCCCCCTCAGAGGCAGAGATGCTTTCCTGATACCAGAGCTCATGGAGATGAAGAGCAAAGTTAACTTAGCTTGATCAGAAGGTCAAAGTCAGTTATATCATCACTGGGATTTGATAGTTGCTGGACATCCTCCCCTGACACAGAACTTCATCACCCCTGTCAAAGCAACATGGTGCCCAGCATCCACCACCAGAGGCCCATGGCTTTGGAGTCTTCCCTCCCCTTTCTCAAAATTCCCAGAGGTTGGAAGGCCAGACCCTAATAGTTATAAGCCCCACTGGGAAAGGAACACCTGCTGGGGAACAGGTAGGGGACAGTGGTGACTAGCTTGAGAAGCTGTCATGATCTGCCTGCTAGTCCAAGTATAGGACAGAGTCAGTAACCCCTCCCCAATAGGCTGCTGCCAGTCATTTACACATTGGTATAAGTTAGTCCAACAAACAAGGCTTCTTCTCAACAGAAGGATCCAGAAGGAAAACAGAGAGAACTCAAGCAGCTAGAGGATTAAGGAGGATGGTTAAGGGTCAGTAAAACAGTGAAGAGGTGATGTGGGGCCAGTCATTGCCAGGGCAGAGGTGGGGCAGGATCTTCCATTTTAGTCACAGTGTCCCTTGCTAGAAAAGCTGTCCTGAGCACTGCCTCTGGATTAGGTGCAGCTCACAATATGGACATTCTACTTTAGGGTCTTTCTTTTCTTTTCTTTTCTTTTCTTTTTTTTTTTTTTTTGTGAGACAGAGTTTGACTCTATTGCCCTGGGTAAAGTGCCATGGCATATAGCTCACAGCAAACTCAGACTCTTGGACTTGAATGATCCTCTTGCCTCAGCCTCCCAAGTAGCTGCAACTACAGGTATATACCACTACTACTAACTTGTTTTTCTGTTTTTAGAAGAGACAGGGTCTCACTCATGCTCAGGCTGGTCTCCAACTCCTGCATTCAAGCAATCTACCCACTTTGGCCTCCCAGAGTGCTAGGATTACAAACATGAGCCACCATGCCTGGCCTCACTTTGGGGTCTAAAGTGATCTTTTTTTATAAAATGTTTCTTTCTTTTTAAAGGTACTGCTCTGGCGATTAACCCTGATTACTGTTCTGAAGTCCAACTTCTCTCGTGTATTGGACTCTCCATCTGTGGTGAGATCCTTGGGCTCTGACCCTCCAGGTCTGTTATGTGGAGTCTGGAGCTTCTGGGCCTGAGACTGGTATAGGGACCTGGTCTTCCCTGTGCCTGTGGGAAGCTGCTCTTTTCTACCCTCTACCTTCTGCCTTTGGACCCAACACTCAGCTCTGCAATCTGGAAGAGTGGGCACACCTTTTCCCTTCGGGTTGGAACAATGAAGCTTCTTGCCTTACTGGTCCAGCAGATGAGCTCCCCCTGCCTGTAGTGTCCTCTCAACATTCCCAGCCATGCACAGCCTGGGACCTTACACACTAGTGTGGTGTGAAGGAGGAAGAGCTTCTTCTTAGTGTGTCCCCTGAGGAATCCCTTGAGAATTTTGACCCCCCTCAGAAAAATTCATCAATCAATCTATCTGTCAAAAATTAACAATGGCACTAGCCACAGCACAAGCTTTACCAGCCACAGCACAAGCTTTACCATCTCAGTTCAGAGGCCACATCTCTGTCTCCCAATAATTAGTTCTGAGATTCTGAGAAAGCCTGTTCCCTGTGGCGTCCCAGCCTTGGAGATCCAAGTGAACCTTCTTTTGGAACTGGCTTAACCCAGGGCATCTCATCCCATTGGAAATTTATAAGGGACCTGGATTCTCAGCACTTGCTCATTAACCTCCATCATATAGCTGGGGGACAGGCCCCACCCAAACCACAAGTGCCATTCCTGGCAACCCTTAAATCAAGAACAGGAATAAACAAGGAAGAAGGGCTCAGACACAGATATCCAACAGAAGATCATGTTGGATTCTGGTGCACTATAACATTGGGTGGGCCTGGATGGGGTGCTGTGTAGCTAAGGTGACCAGACATCCCGCTTTTGGCAGGACAGTCCCAATTTTTAATAATTTGTCCCAAGTCCCGTGGTGTTTTAAAAAAGTCCCGATTTTTGGAAAGAACGCATGACAAGCTAGGGAACAGCAGGAGAATGGGAAGGGAATATATGGTTTTCAGCCACTGAAAACGTTAATGTAACTCCATTTGGGAATGAAGAGGTTAATGTAATTTCATTTGGAAATGAAAAGGCTAATGTAAACTCCCTACTCCCCTCCTGGGCAAGGTATCAGAAGGAGATTGGCTCCCTCCCTTGCTTCTAGGCAACAACAATTAGCTCAGAAGGAGCCAAACTGTCTAGAACAAACAAATAGCCCCCCTCTCTAGAGTAAGGTAACCCGGCATCCCACTTTTGGCAGGACAGTCTCGATTTTTAACAATTTGTCCTGCATCCTGCAGCATTTTTTAAAAGCCCTGATTTTTGGAAAGAATGCACAACAAGCTAGGGAACACTGAACAGGAAGGAAATATACGGTTTTCGGCTGACATGTGGCTATTTCACCAGGATATGTGTTTTATATTATTTTTGTTAATTCCATAATGTTAAATTTTAATAATAACAAATAATTGCTGAGAACTGATTATTGAGAACTGCTTATCAAAGTTTGCATTGTTGTCAGGCCCTGCCCCCCAGGCCACGCCCCCCCCATGGTGTCCCGCTTTACCAATGTTAAAATTTGATCACCTTATGTGTAGCGCATGTGCACAGCCTGGAGGAGGCTCTGAGCGATGATGGTGCTGCTGAGGGCCTGGGGTCATGGGCCTGTGTGGCTGCTGAAGCCAGCAGGGCAAGGTGATTGCATAGCAAAGTCCAGGATAAACTCCTGACTGGGCTGACCTGGGTGCAGCTGGGCAGGCCAGAGGCTTTGAACCTATGGATTGGTCACATCAGCTGTTGGAGGTGTGTACACAACCACATGCTGAGCAGAAGCATTATATGCAACCGACCAAGGTTGACAAAGCCAGTCCACCCTTGACCTCTCTCCACCTTGTCCCTAACACTCAGCACCACCTCAAACTCCAGCTCTGGGAACAGTCCCCTTCCTGTCACTCATGCCTGAGTCCCCAGGCCCTCTGCCATGCTGCAGAACCCTGTTCCCTACTGATCACACGCTCTCCCTCCTTGGGCTTCTGAGCTTCAGCTGCTCCTGAATTCCCCATCACCCGCGGTCCCCAACCAGTTATCACAACATCGCTGTTACTTCCAGGAGGACCACCCACTATGCTCACCTCCCTCAGGGACCATCTGTCCCTGCAGACTCACACTCTATCTGCTGGGGTGGTTTCCATGCAGGAACTCCAGATTCAAGGCCTATTGCCCTCCGGTGCAATTTATTTGAAATCTGGGAAATTGCTTTCCTGCTATATTGGCATTCCTAGTTAGGCTTTCACCCTGTTAAGACTTTCAGGTGTATCTTTTTGTGGGTATTATGTGTTCCTTCCTCCCTCCCTCCTTCCTTACCCCAGCATAACACATATCTCAATAGTGTTTATTAAAGTTAAGTCCACTGTTTTGGTGAGTTAAAAGATACTTCCTGAAAAGCACATGAATGGCCCTCAAAGCTGGGCACTCTGTCACAGGGGATAGCTTCCTTCAGCTGAGCAGTGATTGGCTTAACCCCAGGTATCTCTCCTCATTGCAAATAGATAAGGGACCTGGATTCTCAGCACTTGCTTATTAACTCTCCATCCTGAGCTGGGGGGACAGGCCAGGATGTCCTAGTCCTAAGCCCTCTAGGCCTTACATCCAGGCTTCATTAGAATCTCAGAGCTCATTTTCCGGAAAGAGATGTGGCCTCAGACCCTCAAGTTGTTTGATAGAATCATACCATGTCCCTCCTCCTCATCGAGTCAAGGCTACCACCGCTTGAGCCCCTGCTTCACCCAGGCTGCCCCCATGCCTTGGGACAGACAGATAGCATCTAGTCTGGGGGGCAGATGGCAACTAGCACCCAGCTGACTACTCTGCATCAGACCTTGGGAATTTTTGCACAATTTTTCCCTTCCATATATTACCATAAGCACTGCTTGATTTCCCTTTACAAAAAAAGAACAAACACCCAGATATCTGTAAATATAGCATTTATGTTTTACTACTGATGTCAAAATGAGTTGGGACATTGGGAAAGAATTTAATTGGGCTTCTGAGTGGAAACAAGTAGGGCATTTCTTTGAAAAGATGAAGCCAGCGGGTATATCATCCTAAATGTGAACATCTCCACAGATGGAAATTCCCAGGATGCCCAGGAGCCCAACCTTTGCACAGCCGCCGGCACCAACCTTTCCTAGAAAGGGGAAGATTTTTTAAAGGAAGAGTATTAAGAAATATGTTCTTAGAATGCAATGAACCAATGCTTTTTGTGAATGTCTTGACTAAGGGAAGTACATGTAACTTTGGTATGATTTTAGCTGTATTTGCATTGTAAAGGATAATAATCTATTCGCTTAAGTAAGACTGACAATATCTAGAAGTGCTGGTTGGCTCAAACCCAACTGAGATTATGACATTCTGTGTTGGTGGCATACCTATGTGACTTTGCTTACTTTACCAATGAGTACTTAAATTTTTTCTGGGCAGTAGAAATGTAATAAATGTACATTCTTCTTTACCTACCTTCCACTACCCTGAGGAATTTCTTTTCTTGTTTTCTACATCTGTTGGTACTGCCCTCTTTCTGGCTACTTGGCCACATTGAAAGGCTTTGTATAAACATGTGACTGCAGTGCCAAATGTTACCTGGATGAATTGGGCCTACACCGGGGCTAGCAGGATTAAACTCACTGAACAACTATGACAACTGCAACAACAGCAACAAAAATAGCCAAGTGTTGTGGTGAGTGCCTATAGTGCCAGCTACTTGGGAGACTGAGGCAAAAGAATCACTTAAGCCCAAGAGTTTGATGTCACAGCACTCTACCAAGAGTGACATAGTGAGACTCTGTCTCAAAAAAAGAAAGAAAGAAAGTATTTGGTGACTAATGGCACAGTTGTGAGGGTGTACAGCACACTCCCTGGATGAAGGACTCAGCTACAACTTGAACTTTACCTTAGAAACACAAACAATGTAACCTAACCATTTGTACCCTCATATTAATCTGAATAAAAAGAAATTGGTGAATGAATGATGTACTGTACTCACCTGTCTGTTTTTCAACCACTTCCGCCTTATACAAGGGGATGTCTTTGCAGAGCTTCTCAATGGGTGACCCAAACAGGAACCAGTCCACATCCTTGATCAGAGCCTCCAGAGGGTTGTATTTGACCCAAGTGTACTTGTCGGAGAACATGTTTTTCAGGGCCTAGATCAGTATAACAAGGAGGGCAGCAAAAAATAAACTGACGTTATCTGCTGTACCTTACTCTATGCTGTGAGTATTTTTCTCTTTCACATTATTAAACAGAAGACATCCAGGAATCTCAAGACATCATCTCTTCCTGACCACTCTGTCTGCAGAGAAACTTCATTATTATCAGTGTGATTTTACTGCTGGTAGCAATGAAATCCAGAGATGGTAGGTCCTGTGCCAAAGGTATCGTACATAGGGAGTCATGGAGAGAGACTTAAAGGCCAGGTCTCTTGCCTCAGTGCGGTGTTCCCAAACACTAGCTATACTAGATGGGTCTTTGCATCTTCATGTCATGGAATACTAGTACTTTTCTCATTTTCTGCTTATTCCTGTTTCTTAGAGCCCAGCTCTGAGAAGTGAGGCTGATTGGTTGCTTCTACAAAGACCCTGGAATGTATTGTAAGTTCCTGTATTTAGGGCCATGTGATGCAAATCAAGCTGAGATGGACTCCTGCTCTCAAAAAATAAATAAATAAAAGCAAAAGCACTTTAGTGACCTGAGTACTGTACTTACAGTAAATATCATGATCTTTGCCCTCCCCTCTTCATCTCTTGAGAGGCACCAGTATTGCCCAGACCAAGAACAAAGAATACTCAAGAGTACCCAGTATTACCTGTTTCTCATAGATGTACCGTTGGAGTGCGTCCAAAGCAGGGATGGATTGATGGTTCATCTTCAGGATGTAGCAGGCTCTTCGAGAGAACACCCTGGATGCGATGTAGCCCTGAGGAGCAATAACACAGTCACTGCCCCTCCCCATCTCCCTGCATCCTGAACTTGGTGAATGAGGGTAATGGCTGAGCCTGGGAAGAAAGACTGGAGTGCAGATAGTGAGTAGATGATGAGATTGCTTTCCAATATGCCATCAATTCTATCTCCGAGACTTCATTGATATAGCATTTCTGTTTTCTCACTTGTCATTTCTACCCCTTTGAAAGTGTGCAAACCCAGGGCTTGTATTCAACTTTTCATGTGATAGAACCAGGCTCTGCAATTTGGGGTCTGATAGATTGAGAAGAAGCAGTTCCCTGTGTCTTTCTACTGGTTTTATTCTGACTCCTCCTCAATTTGAAGTAAATACAATCTCCTTTAGAATTCTGCTGTCCAATATGATAGTTACTAGCCACATGTGACTATTTAAATTTAAATTCAAATTGGATTAAATGTAAAATGTGCTTTCTTCATCACACATATTGAATGCTCAGTAGCCACAAGCAGCTAGGGGCTTCTACTGGAAGTACAGATATAGAACACTTCCACCACTGCAGGAGGTTCTGGACCATGCTGCTTTGGAAACTCCCCTAAGCATCCTCTCAGCCTCCCTAACCCGCACACACATGCATGTTTCATGTATTTTCCATTTCTTTACCTCCCCTCTTCATCTCCAGCTTTCTCTGTCCTCTGTCCTTTCTCCACCTCAAACCCACACTGGCTGGATGGGGGAGGGGGTAGGGAATGGCTGGAGGAAGATGGGATTGGAAGAGGAATGGAGGGTGAGGACCTTGGAGACAGAAGGGATTAAAGACCATTGAGTCTTCATCCACAGTAGAAATTGTCTCTGCGGAGTTCCAAAGAATTATATACCCTATAAGATTGTATCTGATAGAAATCCTTCTAGTTCCTATTTTTCAATTCCCACAAATTGCCAGTTCCTAAAATTCAGAAACAGACTGAAGCAGAACCTGTTGATAAAGGAAGAGGTTTAAAGCAACTCCTCACCACTCTAACCACTATATTTTAAAGACAGTTTTGAGATTGCCACGTCAACTTCTTAGGTACAATTTCTTTTAAATCTTATGTTTTAAAGACTCCGTACTTTCAAATGTGGCCCAGCCAACAGCTGGGGGGAAGAGGGATGGGAGGAGGTTTCTAGAAGAAAATCAAGTTCAAGTGTCCAGAAAGATGGGCTACAACCTACATATATCCACAGTCCAGTCTGAGTCTAGGTAAGGTCAGGTTCACAATTAATGTCAATGGAACAAATGAAAAAAAAATGCATAAAAAGAATCAAGATAAGTTTTTAGAGCAGGTTTCTGAGACTTACTGTTAATACCAATAATTAAAACTTGTAAACAGTTTAGTGCTTTTAGATGACATATTTTCCTTCTTACAGAAAAATGATCTATTGCCTATTCTGTAGACATAATTAAATATGTATACTTGCTCTGGATTTCTGCTATTTTGTGGTTGCTTTGTGATTATCCTTTTTTTTTTCCTGGCATGGTGTTTTATATTAAAACCCCAATTCATCTATTTATTCATGGAACACACATTTTTTGAGAATGCCAGGAACCACTTTCAGCTTTGGTCTCTCTTTTACGTGCTTTCTGAGCATGCAGTGGAGCAGTATCATCACTCTTCTTTCCAATTTCCATCTGGAAAAGTCCAGTAAATGCTTATGTTTCCTGTCCTATTTTTTTCTTAGACATGGTTTGTTTGTTTCTTAACTGATTGCTTGATTATTTAAAGGGAAAAGGGGAAGTGAGGAAATTCTTAAAGCATTGCAAGGATGGATCTTAGAATTCAAATATACATATAACAAGAAGTTGTCCTTCTGCCCTTTAGAAAGCCCAGGTCTTGAAAAATATAAAAAATTAATTTTCTGCTTACATGTTTATAGTCAAAAATTGTGGTAGAAGAGCACGTTCCTGCGTGGACGTTAACGATGGCGAGGTTTTTTTCATTGTCAATTGACACTGTCTCCTGGACATTGACACCATTATTGCTCGGGCTGATGATGTTATAAACCTACCTCGACAAGAAAGACATAATAATTTTTCCTTAAATTTTATGTATTTGAAAGGCAACCCTTTCAACCAAATAAAACTTCCTCCCTGCTAGGAACAAGAGAGGGAAAGTTAAAACCTACCCACCACGATCCCAGTTCAAAAGCCCATGATACAATAAGAATGCAAAGATTTTCCTCATTTTCCCTATGTCCCTATACTGTACAAGGGAGAAGCAATGACATCACAGGAGAAATTACACCGACCACATTTTAAAGTAATGGGTTACATTTGGGGTGTTATTACAACTGGAGAGAACTAGCCAACCCCACTGTTTCTGTTATGGATTGTTTTTGAGATTCCATCCCAGAGAGGGTGTATGGGCTTTCTGCTGTCCTGCACATTATCCTGTATCTTCCTTTCTCCTCTCCCAACATCACTAAGAGATAAAGCCCATAAGCAACCACCTCACCTCAGATCCATGAGATTGTATCCCAAAGACAGCCAGCACCACCAGAAATGCCACCTGAAAAATAGACCAGCCACATGGCTGTAGTTTAGTCAACAAGAGTGGGGACAGGAGGGTACACTGGCAGGGAGGAAACGAGACTCCACTGTAGTGTAGTCAACGGGAGTGGGGACAGGAGGGTACACTGACAGGGAGGAAAAACTTGACTATCTCAGAAAACATACTTAGAGACTCTGCCAGACTGTCAGTTACGGGCAGCCAACAGTCCATTTCCAGAGTGTGAACACACACATTCACTCATGGGACAGGCACTGGATGAATTCACTCTATTTGTCAGATCCAAGGTTCTGCCTTTGCCTCCCAACTTCCAACTCTTTCCACACTATACTCATCAAGATAGCAGGAAAATCTGAGTACAGAAGAACAGCGAGGAAGCATTCGTTTTACTATGGAAATGCCCTGGCATTATTCACATGGGCTTTAGATCATGGTGGTCAAATTATGTCCTCTGGTCTAAAAAAAATTTTTTTTAATTTCTTAAGACTGAGAAAGAATAATGCACATTTATTCTAATACACATTTAAAATGGATTCATGGGTAATAAAGATAGAATGAATTTCTAAGGGAAACTATGAAAATAAAATTCTTGGGAGCATCATTAACTTGTAGAGCTAACATCAAGAAAACTCTTTATATTCTACACCCCAAGCAAGTGCTGGGCCAGCAGGTCACGAGACGACATTGAGGCAATTCTGATAGTTTGCAGTTATGTGAGCGTCCTATTCATCATGCTAACCTCAGTTAGTGTCCTCTGTTCTGAACATCATTGAAAACTACGACAGAGGGAAGAGGCGGATGTTTCTATCAATAAGAACTATCATGGACTTTTCTACTTCCCTTTCCATCCCATCATCTCTCTTCTGACTGGTAGTGCAGTGTCTAACAAGATGTAGATATTCAACCTGCCTACTTGCATAACAGCACCTCTTCTCTTACCCCAGGCCAGCTCTGGCAACTTCTGAAGCTACTATGTATTTTATTTAGTGGGTCTAAAACAGAGATTTGAACAAGTGGATGAAGGGCTCACCACCTTAACGGTTGATTAGAGAGAGCTCAGGAATTGTCCTTCCTCCCCCAAATAACCTCCCATTTGACATCCTGATGAATACGCCATGGTTGAAAGTTTGCACTTCAAGGTTAAACAGTCAAGAGACCCCCCTAGGACAGGGAACTCTCTAAGCCGACAGCCCTTTTAGAGAGGTACTTAACATTTTGCTTTCTCCCTGAGCTGCTAAATGAAAATAAAGGACAGAGTCACAGGGAAGAGGTTCCATTCTGGATCACAACATAGTCCACCACCCATAGGGCATGGCCAGGTGGAACTATGGGTCAGATGGAGGAGCAAGGTGATCATGGCAGGAAAGCTCTGCCTTAAGGGAAAATTTAAACATAATGGGTAGCACTGAAGAGTCTAGGCCACTTAAAATTTGCCATGCTTGCTCCTGAAAATGGGCCTAAAGTGGATAAATTGCGTTCTAAATCCCACATTTACAGGTTTGAGAAAATCACATTCCTCTGTGCCTCAGTCTCCTTATCTAGGGATAATATAGCTTAACTCAGAATTGTTATAATGCATAGATGAGATTATTCAGGTGAAATGCTTAGCCTAGGGCTTAGTATGCACTGGGGAAGTGAAGCTACTATTATTACTATCACTGATATTATTTTTTAAATCATCACTTCTCTCTTAGATAGCAAACACAGTTGTTTTAAATTGCCTATGATCCCTGCAAAGCTCATGATAAGGAATTATTATTAAATATCCTCCAAGTCAAAATTCTCTACATACAGATCTCCAAAATGTTATCTTTGTATTTTCTTTAGTAAATATCTCAAAAAATAGACAATGGACAATTAAATTCCTGACTTGTTCAATAGTATTCCTGCCAAAGATGTCATCAATTCACTCGCAGAAGCATAGAAGCGCTCACAGTGCGTAAGACCCGTGACAGCCAGGGCATATCGGATGTGAGCATTCTTTGCAAGCAGCCACCACAAGAATATCAAGAAGCACAAACAAATACTCACAAGGATTTTCATTTTGCCTGAAGGGAAGAAGGTGCTGGAGCAGGTGAAAATGGTCAGCGCAGCTTCTATTGCTTTTATATTGGGCTTAAGGGGTGGAAATCTCTCTCCTGAATGATTCCTTTAGAAAAGACCGTGTCTGTATCTCAGACACACCCCAGCAAACTCCTTTATCGGGACTGAGCCCCAACCACATACTTGATATCAGGAGTTCATTAGTCAGTAGTGAAAATTCAGCACTTGGTCACTCTGTAAATATTCCCCGCTTATCTGTTTTGTGCTGCGCTTGAGATGTCAATGTCCACCCTTTAAAAATGGTACAAGAAGCTTGTTCCATGCATACATTTTATAGACATAGAAGGACATATTCCTAATATCTCCTCCTAAGGATAAAGTCCTTCCTTAAGACCTGAGTCAGGCCCCCATCAATGTTTTTCCATCACTGTCCGGCTTGTTGAATGGACATGAGGCTGGAGGGGAGGGATGGTGGCCAGGAGCCCTGCTTGGAAAACAAAAATCTTTATGACTTTATTTGTTCTTCCCTTTAGTTGTGGTGCCAATTTCAAGAAATTCATGAGGAATGAACCTCAGGAAGCATTCTGCCCAATTACCAGGGTTAACTAAGTTTTTACATTAAGCCTTCCCCAAAACTCCATGAAAACTATGAATTGCATATCTCTAGTTATCTTGAGGGGTATCAAAAAATTCTCATATTTGAAAGAGAGAGAAAGAATAAATTTTAATTTGTGTCATTTTTTAGCATTATAATTAGAACTGGCTAGTTAGTGTCACGATCATGAACTCAGTGGGTAGGGAAATTAAAAATATAAATACCTGTAAATTACAAAATTGTAAAGTACTGCAAAGCATCACAGCAAGCAGAAATAACATGAATAATGTCCTTGTTTTACAGATGAAGCAACTTTCTAACTAGTAGTTTTAAAAAAAAATGGGACTTTCAAAAAGTGGACATTTGGGCAATTGGGGGGTTTCCTAGTTCACTGGAATTCCCTTCCTTGGCTGTTCTGTTGCAATGAATTAAATCCTTCTGAGACAGCAGCAGCAGAAAGGATCATGGTTCTGTAGTACATCTGCAAATTACCTCCCTTATCTGGTACCAGACATTCGAACAAGCAAGCCAGCACTGACCATAGCGAGGATAACGCCTCACTCTCTACTTTATCCCCTTCCTGTCCCTACGAGTTCTGAGTCCATAGGTCTAACAATGATAATAGCCAGCATTTATGTAGCACTTATTAAGTTCCAGCACTTTCTAACACTTTGCATACATTGACATTTGATTCCTCGTAACAACCTCATAAGTTACCTTCTATCCTATTCCATTTTACAGATAGGAAAACCAAGGTGCAGGGAAGCTAAGTCCCCCTCAGGGGTTACACAGCTTCTAAGAGCAGGGGTTGGGATTTGAACCCAATCCAACTCTGGAGTCCACACACTTTGCTATAGGAACCATATAGCCTCACTCTGACTAGTTGCTGGATGAGAGTCACTTCTGGCCTTGCAGAGTGGGGCCATTAGTAAGGGGGTGTCTGCTTGCAGAATGCTCCCTGGCTGAGAGACTTGAGAATTATCAGTTCTACCTACAACTTAAGAGTGAAATCTGAAATGGAAGGAATGAGAACCTGTGTTTGAAACCATTGTTATGAATGAAATTCACATCTAAGCTGTCCAGCTCCCCTGCAGAGGGAGTAAACTTGCTGACTTCCAGGGCCTGGTGCTGACCACGCCCACACCCGGGATGCTCTGAGGCAGTAGGTATGAAAAGGGGTGCACACATGTAGGGTTCTAAAACCTCCATGGGTTATCCAAACCTCTCACAAGGAGACCAAGACACAGGCAGGTTAAGACATAGTGTCAAAGTTAGTGTCCCAAGGCCTTCTGATTTTGAGTCCAGTATTCATTGGCAGGTAAAACACTGAAACTTTTGAAGTAATACTTGATTGAATGAAGGCATCTACATCTATTTAGCCACTCTACTTCTTGGGTCATTGCTTTGCTCATACAAACATTCCTGATACACGTATTTTGGTGCCCATTCCAGACCACCTTGGATTGTATGCCTTCCTTAGGTCATGGTGGGTGTGCAGAATCAGTTATTCTGGATAATACCAAGTCGTTCTACAAAAAGGTTAACCTAAAATACACTTACCCTGGTGTTGCAAAGTGTTCAGTTTCTACCACATCTTGCCAAGTCTTGGTGTTGTTAAACTTTTTAAATTTTGATGGGCATGAAACGATACATCATCATGGTGCAAACTTGTATTCACCTGATGAGTGTTGACGTCGAGTATCTTCTCATTACTTGGACCATTCATGTTTCCTCCTCTATAATTTGCTGGTTCATGTCCTTTTCCCATTTTTCTAACTTGTATCCATTTTTATTGTTATGTAGGTGATATATTCACACTGTGAATTAGAATTCTCTAACAGTCTAGCGTACAGTTCATCAGGTAACCTGGTTTCCAAGACCTTTAAGGTATTTTCCTATATTTTCTTAAAGACTAGTTTTTTATATTTAATTGTACTATTATTTTTTCTTTTTTTATTATTAAATGATAGCTGTATACATTAATGCAAACATGGGGTACAGTGTAGTGTTTTCATATACAATTTGAAATAGTTTCATCAAACTGGTTGACATAGACTTTGTGTCATTTACTTATTGTGTTAAAACATTTATACTCTAGTTCTAGAAAAGTTCACTTGTACCCTTGTTAGACAGACCATATTGGTGATCTTTCTGGTCACCCTCCCACCACCTATCCACCCTTTTCCCCTCCCCTCCCCCAACCCCCTCTCCATATTCTTAGGCTAGAATTAGGTTTTAGCTTTCATTTGAGGTCTATAAATTAGTTTCATAATAAGGCTGTGTACGTTGGATACTTTTTCTTCCATTCTTGTGATACTTTTATTATTTTTAAGGATGGTATTAGATTGAAGTCCATTTTGTTTTTCCATTTGGGTGTCAAGTTGTCCCAGCATTACTTCTGAACAGTCCAATCTTTCTCCACTAATTAATACGGTTGCATAGTTTCTGCGTGTGTAGTTTCTGCTCACTATATCTCAGTTCTGTCGTTCTATTTATCCATCCAAATGACAATAGCTCCCCACCTTAATTTTACTCTTTTTAAGTAAGTTTTGATATCTGGTAGAGCATATCTCTATCAGATTTTTAAAAATTATCTTGGCTATTGTATGTTTTCTGTATTGCTTATTTGTTTTCCATTTTATTGATTTCTGTTCATTAGTTTTTTCTTTTCACTTTCTTCAGAATTACTCTGGTCTTATTATTCTGATTTCTTGAGCTGAATGCCACTTATTTATGTTTAATCTCTCTTGCTGTTTTTTAAGGAAAGAATTCATAAAAAATTAAAGTACAAGAATGTATTCCTATTTTGTTTGCATCCCACAGTTGTTTTGATCAGTAATTTGCACTGTGATTTTCTCTTTAAGCTACAAGTTGTCAAGGAGAATATGTTTCAATTTCTTGAGTAAAGATTTTTTTCTCCTCTCTCCCTCCCTCTCTCGCTTCCTCTTTCTCTTTCATCATTTATATATATATATAAAAATATATATCCCAAAAATGTTTGAAATAAGTGTATATTCTCCACCTGATGATAACATTTGAAATGTATTTTCCACTAGGCTAAGCATGTTAATTTTACTTTTAAAATATTCTACATTTTATCTTTTATTTTTTATTTTTAAAATTTCAGAATACTACAGGAGTACAAATGCTTGGGTTGCATACATTGCTTTTGTGCTATTTGGGTCGAAGTGTGCCCCTGACCCAGAGAGAGTGTACTGTACTTTAGGTGTGAATTAACCCAAGGGAATGGGTATATTTATATAATTTCTGATTTTTCATCTATCTAAATCTAACTCATTTTACAAGGGGGTTGGTTTTTTAAAACTTTTATGATTGTGCTTTCATCTGTTTCTTTGTAATGCTTATGAGCTTTTGCTTCATGCCATTTTGCTCTTTGGTGTATGCAAGTCCCTCACCCAGGCCTTGCCCTGGAGAACCAGGTCTTTCTTTTTTGAGTAATATGTCCCACTTTGCCTCTATTCATGTTCATTTGGTTTTGCCTTTAATTTGCTTTCTTTTGGTTCTTTGGGTGATACACTCCTCTACTCATTTTATTTTTAAGTTATCTTTGTGGTATTGTGTTAGATATTTCTCTAGCTTATAGCAATTTACCAAATTTTTTCATCCTACAGTCTGAAAAATGCTTTTCATAGGTGTCATCTGTTTTCTACAACTGTGATTACTAATTTATTTAGATTTTTTTCCATTCTCTTATTGTATACTTACTGCTTTCTTTTGTATTTTTCTTTTTTTGTATTGATGAAGATATGATATTCTTTTTCCCTTATCTTTTGGAAAGAGGTCTTCTTGATTTTTTTTGTGCTTCTGTTGAAATTTTACCATGCATATTTGATTATTTATATTCCTATAAATCCAAAAGACAGCTGATTTTGACCTTCCCAGCAGAGACAAGGAGCTCAGTACTCTTTAAGTAATCATTGGTCATGCTCTCTATCCCAACATTGTTATAATTGTGTAGTTTTATCTTCATCTTTAAAAAACAACACAGAAGTAGTTAAGCCCGTCATCAATAGATAATTAAATTTACTAAGATAATGTTTTATCAATTTCTATACTAATTCTTTTTTTTTATATTCTGAATACGTCATTTTTTAATTTTTGCTAAGCATACCTTTAAATAGTTTTTTTACTGGGAACCAGTTGATGCTAAAATGTCTTATTTCTTTAATGTTTCAAAAGTCTTCACTTTTGAATGGCAGTTATAGAAGTTGACAGTTATTTTATTTCTAGTATTGTGAAGATACACATTACAGTAAGTTCCCAAGTTACAAATATCTGATTGATATAGGATTGGCAGTTATGAATGGCAGCTATTACAGGTAACAAGTAAATGTACCTGTTCCAACTTCCAACTTCAAACCTTCCAAGTTCAACCTAAGAATAAACCCCAGAACCTATCTTGTTCGTAGCCCGGGGT